CCTCCAGCAGCTGTATATTGGCTGGTGAGGAGCCAGTGTTGGTTGCTTAATGAGCACTTTGTACCGATTCCACCGTAAATAGGCTTTTTTGGGGATGAAAATAGATTGGTTTGTGCCTAGCCTGGATTTTGACCAAGAAGACGAATACTCTGATTGTTCCTGGGTTTCAGGAACGGGCATTCATTGCATTGTCCCACAAATTGCACGTGTGATTGTACGTGAAGAGTTGGGTTCGTAGTGGATGAAAATGGACCGTGTACATAGCCGCTGATGTACAATGGGAGGTTTGCACAGCTGTGCTGTAAAACACCTGCCGTTCTCTCACTGCTTCCAACATGGGCAGAGAGCTCTTGAGGTTTTTTTTTTTTCCAAGTCAACTGAACTAAAGAATCCCTATTTAATAATAATAATCCTTGCATTTAATAGAGTTTTATCACGTCACTGAGACGTCTCAAAGCGCTTTGCAGAATATACTGTAAAGTGAATGACTGGATATTTTGTGGGCGAAATGCAGCAGTCAATTATCCCACAAACAGTCGTGGATTGAGTGACCAAATTATTATTATTTTATTTTTCCATTTACAGGAATTTAATCTCACTTCCTTTTGCGGCAGTTTTCCCACTCTCCCTTTATTTAACAACAAAAATAGGCCCCAAATTCCCCCCGCCCATGTAAGTAAAAACAATCCAGGTTTTTGTCTGCAGTGTTAACTGCAATGGTTGAATCAGGGGTCTCAAAGGAGTCATAATTTGTTTCTATTGAACAAAGATATGTATAAGCTCTGACAGAGGCCCAGTGCAGCATCCTCTCACTCATTCATTCACTCTCTGTGGACAAATAATTCCACAATTACAGATTTCTAGGTTGTGACCTACCGATTGCTCCATTTGTAAGACAACCGAAAGGGATATTGATTATGATCCATTCTCCCTTGAAAATATAATCGGCAGCTCAATAGATCAAAGATCAGCAATTAATGGCAGTCGTTAAGTGGGGAAGAGTGAGGCGGGGTGCTGTAAATCCTCGCTGTGCTATCAATCTTATCTGGCCCAATCCAAGCACTTTTTATTAACTTTCTGAAAAATCGATGCCTCTGTCAGCCCAAATGTGTCCAGTTTAAATAGGACAGGATTACAGGATTCAGAGAGACTGAGGAATGACTGACACACAGCACTAAGTGTGCAGGTATCTTCTCCCTTCATAGCCAAGAAGATTATGTGCCAGTGTAATAAGATTCAACATATTTATTCAGATGAAGAAGGCGCTTCAGCCCATTTGATCTTATCCATCCAGAACACCCACCCGACCGACTTCCCACCACAGTTTCAAGCTGGTTCTTAAATAAGTCCAGTGTCCTAGCCTCAGCCATGCTTTCCTGTAGCCAGTTCCACTCATTAATTACCCTGTGGGCAAGGAAATGCATCCCAGTGTTCATCCTGAAATTATCCTTTGGACCTCTGAACTTGTGTCCTTTTTGTTCCTTAGCCATGGTATATCCGAAACTGTCTCATCGTTGTTCATAGTTCATTCATCTAATCCTGCGGATTATCCTTGTTGTTCTCTTCACTGCCTCGAGGACCTGGGTAGCTCTTTCATGTTGCGACAAACAAAACGGTGTGCTGTACTCTAGGCATGACCTATACAACTTGAGCATGACTTAACTTACTTCAACTTATTTGCCAACATAGCCCAGCATCCTATTTCCTTGCTTATTGCTGCCTCGTACTGTTTTGACATGGTGAGCGATGAGTCATCTAACACCTCTAGGTTTCTTCCTGCTCCGCCGTTGGCAAGTTCCATTTTATACACGAAGTATGTGTATCTCCTATTTATACCTCTTACATGCAACACTTTGCATTTGTCTGTATTGAATGCCACAAGCCAGTCATCAGCCCACGTGTTTAAAATGATAAAGGGATTTGATAGGGAAACTACAGAGAAACTATTTCTTCTGGTGCGGGAATCTAGAACAAGGGGGCATGATTTTAAAATTAGAGCTGGGCCATTTAGGACTAAAATCAAGAAGCATTTTTTCATGCAAAGGGTAGTGGAAATCTGGAACTCGCCCCAAAAAGGCTGTGAATGCTGGATCCATTCAAATTTTCAAGACTGAGGTAGATGGAGTTTTGTTAGGTCAGGGTATCAAGGGATATGGAGCAAAGACGGGTAATTGGAGTTAGGTTTAGATCAACTGTGATTTAGTAGAATGGCGGAACAGGCTTGAGGGGCTGAATGGCCTACTCCTGTTTCTAAGTGTGCACACCCTATCAAGCTCTCTTAGTGAGTCCTTATCCTTTTAAGTGGTTGGAAGCCAGGAAATTTTTAGAAGCAGCGGTGTTTTTTGATGTTCCGCAAAAAGCTACAGTGACCTCAAAGCACAGCAGTTACTTCAACATCAGAAAGAAAATATTTCTACTTCGGAGTACAGGATGACAAAAAAAAGAAGAGTAGTTTCTCAAACAGCCATCATCTGTGGAAGAGATGACAGGCAATCCAAAACAAAACCTTGGTTACGGTCATAATTCAGCCCTTTCTAATTTATTTATGAAGAGCCCAGTTTTAGCCCAAATTTAGATCACAGGGCTTATATACACAGCAAAATAGCCATCCACATGCATAGGGCAAATGAGCAACACACAGCAATGGACAAGATCACAAGGAAATAAGATTGTAATCCTGTTTTCTCGACCCCTCCCCTCAACCCAGGAGCGAGGGAGAGATTGTGTGAGAGAGGGGGAAGAGAGTGATTGACAGAGAGGGGGAAAGAGACAATCATTGAGAGAGGGAGAGAGCAGAGAAAGAGACAGATTGAGGGAGAGCGTGAGAGAGAAAGTGTGTGTGAGAGAGAGTGTGATGGGGGAAGAGAGTGATTTAGAGAGGCGGAAGAGAGTGATTGAGAGTGGGGGGAGAGAATGTGAGTGAGAGGTGGAAGAGAGAGGGGTTGAGATTGAGAGAGAGAGAGAATGAGAGGGGTAAGGAAAGAAACAGAAAGGGAGGGGGAGAGAGAGCAGAGAGGATTCATTAATAATTAATAAATTGGAAGCCAGTTTCTTCTTAAGAACTGCAGACACTAGCCCCTAAATTCACTCAGAATTAAGAATTTTGCACAATCCTAAACCTTAAAGCAAGAAGGGTCAGGCAGGCTGAAACTCTAGTGAAATTACAGACTTTTAGCCTATGTTGACATTCGGCAGCATTTACTTTGAAAGAGGCCACCACAAGGCCTTTCTCAGGGGTGTCTATGCAAGAGTTAGAAGGAACAAAAGTCCCCTCTACTTAAGAGAATTGTAACTCAATGCTACAAGCTTGCTGACCAATTCCCTCTGCAGCCTAGCCTCGTCATCTGATAAATGGGTTTCTTGTAAAAGGGCCAAGTTGCACTTCATTTTGTTGAGACAAGTCAGAATGTTTTTCTTTGTCGGGGTTTGAATTCTCTGCACATTCCAGGCAATCACAGCACTTTCACTAGCCAGCACCTCCGAAGTAGATTTTACGTGCATAAAAACATGTCAAAACGGCTACCAATTTGCAGCTCATTGGTTCTTGGACTTTTTTTTCAAAAAGAAGTTAAGGCTGCTTTCTGTGTTCTTCTGGCTGTTGAATATTTTTCTTCTTGGGACTAACACAAATGAAAAAAATCTCAATCCGTTCCTGCCTGCTGTATCCTAGCTGTACGAAAGACATGCAGAGAGTCACTGATGTTTATTGATTTGCCGATAAATATCACCGCAAAAATAGACCCCATCTCATCCCCCCCATCCCCCCAAGTAAAACTCAACCCCGATTCAACTCAACACTGCCCTGTCCTTGTTTTTAGTAGAAATAGCCAAAGTAAACTATCTCTTAGAATAAGAGATCACTGCATGTAATCCAATGTAGCGGTTCTTGAAGTCTAATTGCACAGACAATGGGGTCAACATACAGGGATTTCTAACAGGATTCTTCATCTAAGTGCAGATTTCTTCCAGTAATCAGAAGCACGTCACACAAGGCACCTCTGACCTCCTCACTGTGAGTAGATTGAGTTTGAGTGCATTTACCCCTCCACCAATCAAGTTGACATGAAACACTTCTGGTTTCCTTATTAAGGAATCCTGTTTGGAAATCATCATCTGTCAGACCCCTCCCTCTCCGTGTGCCTATATTGCCAAACATTCAATTGAATCATCCACTTTTTGAACATTCACGATACACTAATGTAACGTAGCTATGAATTATTATTGACTATGTAACTAGTGTCTTATATAGATTAGATTTTAATGTATTAAAATCACCAAGATAAATTATTCTATTAGATTTTATTGGTGAACAGTGGGGGAATCTCATTAATGTACATTATAGTAGAAGAGAACTTGTGGAATACCAATATGCTTCACTTTTTTTTAAAGCAAAGTGTCGCTTCAGATACAGTTTTTAGAATTCTATCTGTAGTTTGACTTTCTCAATTGCATTAAGCTCACCACTACTGAGGTTCGGATCATGAGAAACCAGAAGCCTTCTACTATGACTGTCTAAAGCCAAGGCTCAACCCGAATAACTGCACTGAAAGGCCCCTCTTTTCAGAGATCTATAACTAGTTTTTTTATGGGGACCTTTTGGCTCATGGCAGTGAATAATAATAATAATAATAATAATAATCCTTGCATTTGATATAGCGCTTTTCACGTCAGGAGGACGTCCCAAAGCGCTTCACAGAACACACTGTAAAGTGAATTGACTGTATATTTGTGGGCGAACGCGGCAGCCAATTGCGCACAGCAATGTCCCACAAACAGTCGTAGATTGAAAATGACCAATTTAATTATTGTTTTGGGTTTTTTGGAGGGATTATTATTAGGTGTGTGGAGTAAGGAAACTTGCCCAAGGTTTCGCCCTCTGCCTGGAATTGAACTCAGGTCTCTCACTTGCAAAGCGAGTGCTCTAACCACTAAGCTACAGGACTCCACATGGAATGGCAATGGCTTTATAGGTTTGAAAAGACAGTGGATCCCTTTCTTACCAGGTTCTCTTGGTTCCTGGCTGCGACTTTCTGCTCATCTTCATGTCCAGAATCTCCCTTCTCAGACCAATCTGTTTCGTCTCGGTTGACGTTCTTCATGTACTTCACCTCTTCAACGTTTCTGATCCGGAACTCTTCTGCAAAGAGGCAGCAGCACAGAAACAAGAGCACAGTTATAATAATAAAAATAATTAATCCTTGCATCTGATGTAGCACCATATCACATGGTTGAGACGTCTCAAAGCACTTCACAGAATATTATAAAGGGGATTGACTGTGTATTTTGTGGGCGAAATACTGCAGCCAATTGCACAGAGCAATGTCCCACAAACAAGTGTGGATTGAGTGACCGAGGGATTATTATCCCCTGGAAAGTGATCTGCCAATCAACTAACAACCTACTTACTGCTAGGTAAACAGGCGTGTGGAGAAAGGAAACTTGCCTAAGGTTTCTCCTCACCTGGGAACTGAACCTGGGTCCTCTAACTTGTGAGGCGAGTGCTCTAACCAATATGCTTCGGGACTCCAGAGTTAGGAAGAGGACCCGCGCTGAGGGCCACACACTTGCGGAGAGACAGATGGTCTCAGAAGAAATTTATTAAGCAGTGGAGTTTATATCCACGAAATTACATTGCACTTAAAAGCTATCGGCAGAACACTGAATGGATTCATGTCAGCATGTCAGTGTCAACACATCTCTTTGTGTAGCATCAGATCAATGGTGCACAGGTCACTGATCAATAGCCCAAGATGGGGCTGTGAATCTTGCTTCTCTACAATCATAATTATCCTGTTTGCATCTGCACGTGTTCCACATACTGTACTTCACTGACCACAGCTCACACAATGCAATAAAACAAATCATAATTCTTTACATTTGATGTAGGATCTTTCTCATCAGGAGGATGTCTCAAAGAGCTTTTGGGTATGGCAACATAATAATAATCTTTGCATTTGATATAGCGGCTTATCACGCCATTGAGACGTCTCGAAGCACTTCACAGAATATATTGTAAAGTGAATTGACAATATTTTGTGTGCGAGATATCCCACAAACAGCATGAAGTGAATGACCAATGTTATTTGTGGGATAGTTGGCCAAGACACCAGGAGAATGGGGAGGGTGTGATGATATAGATGTGGTCAAAGATAATCAACTAAATTATCCTCTGAAACCGCATCAATGAGCACCAAGGTGTTATAAAGCACTCTCAGTGCCACAGAGGATTGCACTGTCAAGTAAATCTCCCCCATGAGAGGTTTCCAGCAAACAGAAATGGAGCACATTTTCTGGAGTGCTCCATGTCCCCTGGGAGATGTTTTCACTTCCTTTCCCCCGCTACACACTGAACTTTCCACGCCGTCTCCATCAGTCTCTTCAAGCACCCAGCCCCTACCACTTGTCTATACAAATGATGACTCACTCTTATATCCATCCAGTGTGCCGCTTACAGTCTTTTCAGGCGTGTCGTTTTGTAATAAAGATCAATGCAAGAATACTGTGACCCTGTCACACACTCCAACACTCCCCACCCCCCCCAACCCTACAATGTGCTAATGTGTGAAGTAACACCCTACCAGATACATCAAAACATTCACTCACAAAACACACAGTCGCTAAACATTACACTGAATCTTGAAAAGGACTTTCTTCCTGACAGGAATAGTTCTGCATCAAATGCAAAGATTATTGTTACAAAAGGTTCAATCCATTCATCAATGTTTTGTGGGTAACCCGAGTCCTGCAGATCAAAATTGCGGTCCTAAAATCTAAGGGGTATTGCCCCGTGGCCTTTACAGCAGCTGAAAGGTTAGTGACAGGCTGCTGTGTAGAGTCGCAATGTTCACATTCTGTTCTGTGCTATTTTTCCTCATTGTGGATCGATAGCATCATTACAGCTGTTTGTGTTGCAGCCTCTAACCCACACCACAGATGTTCCTCTTTCAGCAACAAGGAGCAAACCTTTCAGTCCTGGCAGTCTCCTTGCTGTTCTCTAACCACAGCAGATCATGGCACTTTTTAAAGGAATGCTTAGAAATAATTGTTTCTTCTCTTTTATTGTGGGCAGCTTCAAGAAGGAGCTGGCCATAATTTTTTTACCATAAAAAGGATGGGGGAGTGGAAGAGAGTTATATCAGATGGTATTTGAATGGACTGGATGAATAGCAGACTAATTTTAATGACTCATTTTATTTGGGGGATTGTTGGCCAGAACAGCGGGAAAAACTCCATTCTCATTTTGAATAGTGCAACAGAATCTTTAACGTCCATCTGAATGAACAGGTAGATGGGAACTCGGTTTAACGGTTCATCCAAAGGATGGCACCGCGAACATTGCAGCGCACTCCCAGAAGTGCATTAGAGTGTCAGCAAACCACAGCGACTAAAAAATAATAATCCTTGCATTTGACATAACGCCTTATCATGTCATTGATAAGTAGAGGAGTGGGGAAATTATTACCCCAGGAAAACGATCCACCAATTGACTAACAATGGGGTTCCAACTGACTGCGACATAAACAGAGGGATGTGGAGTAAGAAAAATTGCCCAAGGTTTCAACCAACCCAGAATCGAATCTGGGTTCTCTCGTTTGCGAAGCTCACGTTCTAACCATTATGCTACAGGAATCCAAGTCCTAATGTGGGACTTTAATCTCCTGGCTCAGAGGTGAGAATGCTATCAAGTGAGTCAGGCAACAATAAATAAGTGACTCCTTCAGCACTGAACGCTTGCATAACTACATAACTTTGTACAGCAAAGTGAGGTGGGAAAACATAGCAAAGGCCAATTCCTCACAAAATCAAATATTTTCCCTTAAATCGCTTTTTATTTTGCCCAAGCACAAATTAATTATTGTACCCACACCGTTCAAATAAATCACCCTGTAAACCTATTACTGAATTAATCCAAAAAATAACTCCTCAAAACTTTCAAGATTTCTATCTTAATGTTCTAATAAAGAAGAAAAATCACTGTGTCACAATGGCAGAATTTTCCCATTAAAACCTGTTCATTAAATCACTTTACTGACTAACTCAATAGAACGGCAGGACTGTAAATCAAATGTACTGCTTGTCCAACTACCTCAGCTTTGCAACTCTAGTAGAACTAACTTGTTAGTTACTTTAAGAGAACATTTAAGATTCTCCCTCTCTCTGACTTTGAAACTTTATTAGAGCAGAACTAGAATTGTCAAACTTCCAGGTGGGACTTCAAATAAAATGTTGGATCAAAGCGGAAAGATGAGGGGAAAGGATAATAATCCTTGCATTCGATATAGCACCTTATCATGTTGTTGAGGCGTCTCAAAACGCTTTACAGAATATCCTGTAAAGTGAATTGACTGTATTTCGTGGGAGAAATACTGCAGCCAATTGCGCACAGGAGTGTTCCACAAGCAGTTGTGGATTAAGTGACTATATTTATTTGTTTTTGAGGGATTATTACCCCAGAAAGCAATCCGCCAATCGACTAACAACCGGGTTCCTACTTACTGCTGGTAAACAAAGGTGTATGGAGTAAGGGAACTTGCCTAAAGGTTTTGCCCTGCCCGGGAAGCGAACCCGGGTCCTCTCGCTTGCGAGGTGTGAGCGTTAACCACTACGCTACGGGGACTCCAAGGCATAGTGGAAGGAAGACAGGAAGACTACAGGGGAAGATGGAGGAAGGAGAGAGAGTGGAGTAAGAGAAGAAACTTGTCAATACAGTGGATCTATCTAGCAACAAAATGTAGCCCCAGGGCGTTGGAACTGGTCAGTGTCTCTAGTGATTATCTGCACAACACAGTTCCCGATCTCGGCCAGGCTAACTGAATCTGGGGGAAATGTTCAACACAGTGAGGGATGAATCCACACAATGAATTATTGGTTATCAGTTTGGCAGAAGTGACATTGCTCCTCTAGAGCACTTTTCCTATGGGTTGTTAGAGCTCTGGACATGCTTCATGTTCAAGATCGCTGTTACGTTCCAACAATTTTGTTTCTTCAATTTGTAGGCCCTCAGGGAACTGAAAAATGTCAGGTTGGATGAATAAATCTGTGCAGCTTTAGTGGCCTCCAATTACAAGGAGAAGATCAATGCATACAGTGACTGTTCACAGACTGTGTTCACAGACCGTACCCATCTTTAAAGCCTGCTTAAAAAGCTACCTCTTCGGCTTATGCTCCCCTCCTCCTCTAACCTCCCTTTATCCATCACTCAGCCTCCGACACTATCCTTGTAAAGTATTCTGATATGGTCTCCCACAAAACTATCTAAATGCAAGTCGTTGTCAATGCATCTCTCTCTTCTGAAAGTGCTTCACAGGATATACTGTAAAGTGGACTGACTGTATTTTGTGGGCAATCCCAGTAGTCAATTGCACACAGCAATGTCCCACAAGCAGCCATGGAGTGAAGGACCAATTTTCTTTTGGGGGATTGTTGGCCAGGACACTGGGACAAACTTCCTTCTCTTTTCAAATAGTGGCATCCTTTACCAAACTGAGAACCACATAGTAGGATCTAATTTGTGATGTGTTTAAATCATACAGTTATTCCCCCAAATCATCAAACGATCCCCTCCTATAAACAACCCTCCACGTCACACGAAGAAACACCCACTCATTTCCTCTTTCTAGCCAGTCGCTCTCTTCAGAGACCTCCGAACATTTTAAACAGGCTGATCCAAAAGTGAAGAGATCTTTAATCTTGTGGAGTGTATGGACGAGCGAGACTAAGAAAGTAAACGAGTGATATCACTTAATGCCTTAATCAAGGCACTGCTACATTGGAAGAATAGGAACCATTTCTCTGGCAGGGAATCAGAACTAATCCTAAGTAGGCATCTCATGTCCAATTGAGCCCAAAAGTACTTGCTCTCTGCAATCAGCCCACTTGTGGAGACCAGTCTAAACAAAATACAAATTGATGGCAAGCATGTGGTTCGACCACAACAAACACAATTGCCTTGTACAAGCCTACTGGAAGATAAGATTCCTTTGCAGGGATCTCTCAGTTTACAACTCCCTGAGTGGGACACTTCGCTGAGAGAACATTGCCTGGAGCCACCACAGAAGAATCATTGGGTGGTGGGAGCAGGGAAGAGGAACAAAACACAAAGAAACATACTAGGGTCCACATGGCTTCCCCATTAAT